CTCCGTCTTCGGGGAGGAATGCAAATTTTTGTCAAGACTTTGACTGGCAAGACCATTACCCTAGAGGTGGAAAGTTCTGACACTATTGATAACGTCAAGGCAAAGATCCAGGACAAAGAGGGAATCCCACCAGACCAACAAAGGCTTATCTTCGCTGGTAAACAGCTTGAGGATGGCCGAACGTTGGCTGACTATAACATCCAGAAGGAGTCAACTCTTCATCTTGTTCTGCGTCTCCGTGGTGGTATGCAGATTTTTGTTAAGACCCTTACTGGCAAGACTATTACTTTGGAGGTTGAGAGCTCTGACACAATTGACAACGTTAAGGCAAAGATCCAAGATAAGGAAGGCATTCCCCCTGATCAGCAGAGGTTGATTTTCGCTGGAAAGCAGCTGGAAGATGGACGCACGTTGGCTGACTATAACATTCAGAAGGAGTCCACCCTTCACCTTGTGCTTCGTCTCAGGGGAGGTATGCAGATCTTTGTGAAGACCTTGACAGGCAAAACCATTACTCTGGAGGTCGAGAGTTCGGATACCATTGACAATGTGAAGGCAAAAATCCAGGACAAGGAGGGAATTCCTCCGGACCAGCAAAGATTGATCTTTGCTGGGAAGCAGTTGGAGGATGGAAGAACCCTTGCGGACTACAACATCCAGAAGGAGTCCACCCTTCACCTTGTCCTCCGTCTTCGTGGAGGATTCTGAAATGTTCAGGGCTACTTTGTTTGGTCAGTTTCAGTGTTGGTTGTGGTCTGCGACCGACAGAACTTGTTTATGTGTGGGTCTATGGTGGCCCTTTAAATAACTTGGTTGTGTTTCCTTTTGGACTCTGAATATCCCAGTCAGTACTTCCCATTTGCTGTAATATCCATCGTTTGTTATAATATCCCAGTCAGTATTTCCCAATTAAGTCTCGTGTCTTATGGCATGCTGTTTCATTCTTGATTGCTTTTTAATGCATGATGTTATGGTGTTAGTTACTGGTAGATTAATAAGAGATTTGCGCATAACCCTGTTTACTGGAGTTTTATCGTGTAGTTAGGTATCACCATGTTGTACTCTGAGCGAAGTGGATATACTTTGATTGTTATAGGAAGCTAACGTGTGAATGTATCTGTTGCATTGCATCTTTTCATCCGTTATCATGATGATGTGTTCTTGAACTTCATCTGAAGTATTGCATGTCTACACCTGTTATAGTACAGCATGAAATGAGATTGAGAAAGTTGAGATTACTGGGACCAAAATTTACTGAATTGGGATCAAATCGAGAGCTTTTAACTGGGGAGCTAATACTTCATTAGTTCAGTGTTTGTTATCTGATGTTTGGTTCTCATCAATTCATCTAATCTTTTTTGGAACCCAGAACAAAAAGATGACGTTGGTCTCATGCTTCCTGCCTATGTTGTTTTGGTAGTAGCTGTGGCCATTCGTTTTCTCTATCTGCTTTTCTTCTTTGATGCGTTGTGATGTTTCTGCCTATGCTGAGAAACGTGAGTTCTCGCAACCTACGTATAAAGAAATTGGATTTTGGCGCTCCCCACCAAAGATTTACGTGATCCCGTGACTTCGCGTGACCCTTTTTACTGTTTGGGTGAACGAGATCGCGTAACTTTTATACAGAAGATACCCTGGAAAACTTCTCAAAGAAAGTATTATGTGAACAAAAGTGATTAGAAAATGCCCATTAAAATTGAATACGCGCATTTTTAAATTTTCCAGTGCATAGGGTGAAAGGGTCTTTTTTTTTTTTTTTTTTTAAAGCATAAGTATCTTCGTATTAGAGGTAATCTTATTCGAAATACTGTGTGGGATGAAAGTGTTTTTTATGATCTGACATCAGTTACTTATGGACTGAATTCTTCCTCTGCATTACTGGATAATAGCCCATAGTTGAATGGAAGTTCTCTCCATGTTATGCACAAAATAAATGCTTCCACGATATGCCATCATTAAATGTCTAGACAGAAATTGAGACCGAATTACAGATAGAGTGAGTTTGATAATTCCATTCATTACGTATCATGCAACGTTAATTAAGCAGCATCTCAATGCTCAAAATGAATAAGGATAATGAGGGGAAGTACCCATCCTGAACCTAGTAGGGAGTAGAACAATAAGCAATAAGCCTTTTTGCTTTTTTTCTTGTCATTCAGAAGAAAACAGAGACAGAGAAGGAAGTGGCAATTCCACAGTAAAATGCGAATTGTTTCTGAGAAATATGCTACGATTATCGGCAAATGTATTTCTAAATCGACAGTGGAACTGCTTACTGCTTGCTTAGCTTCCCTGTTTTGAATATAAAATGTGATTATCTATCTGCTACGCCTGCACTTGATGAATAATCAACGACTCATACCCCTAGGAAAAAAAACGTATTCCCAATTGCAGGATTTCTTTAGAAAGATTTTCAAAATAAATTATGAATTGATATATTTTCCGTTATTCTTAGGGAAAATTAGAGAGGAGGAGCAAAAAAAAGATTATATTTATAAGGGAGGATCTTAAAAAGTGTAATTATTTAGGAGGATCAAATATCAGTATATAAATTTTAAAAATACTAAAATACTCCCAACTAAATCTCCTACAGTTTCTCTAACCACTAACTTTACAACCTATTTTTCATTAATAAAAATATTTTTGCACTGTTATTTTACTTTTATATCCATATTTTTATTATCTCAGTTTTCAGGTCTAATAACAATAAATAATTAAATACTGTTCAAATAAAATACATTTAGGCGAAACTATAACCTCACTCCATCTATGCTCAATTGATTGTAAACCCAAAAAAAAAGTATGAACCAAATAATTGTGAGTGTGAAGTTTAAAAATTGAAATAACCAAAAAAGCAACATACTAACAACAAAAAAATATTAATAAATCACAGATCATGATGCTAATGTTATCTAACACATTAACTTGAGGAATTTCAAAATTAATTTCCAAATATTATCCAGATGCAATTAGACTCTCTGCTTTAGTTGACGAAGTCTATACAATATTACTGTCATTATTAATGATCTTATTATGGTACAAACTAGGAATTAACAACTGTTGGTATTGGGCAATGAAAAGTATTAGTGGTGTGAATTTATGTTTTTTTTTTTTTTGGTTAAAGCATAGGTATCCTTTTATTGGAGGTAATCCTATTCGAAACACTATCGGGCATTAAATATGGACACCTCTCCCAGTAGGGATTCAAACCTTAGTAGTGTGAATCTATGTTGAGGAATGAGAAGAATGAGAGAGAGATGGACCCGTATGAGATATTAAAGATTGAATAATTTAATTAAATCAAGGATTTAATTCAAAATTCAAAAGTAGTGGTTAGAGGAAAGATAAGAGAATTGGTTAAAGGTAATTTTGTATTTTTAAAATTATATTTTAATATTTGGTCCTCCTAAATAATTAAACTTTTTAAGATCCTTCCCAATAAATATTACTTTTTGCATGTCCTTCTCCCTAATTTTCCTTTATTCTTATCTTCTCTTGCATTACATCCAGCAGCTATGCCGTGGTAGGAAAATACAATGACAAAAGGACCAGATTCTCACATGCTACCTTATATGAAGTAAAATCGTTCTCGGCTTTTTGGGGTATGGTGTTTTGTGCTCCAACAGAATCAGCAGACAAGTATGCATCAAACAGCCTAGAATTCTGAAGTAACAATGGCGTTTTTAGCTGCAGAGAACTTGCTAGACACAATTCAACCTCGCCCTCCCTTCCTTATTCACACAGTAAAGTTGGATCGAAAAATATTTGTTCCTGGAAAACTCCGTTTTTCGCTTTTGATCTGGGCACAATCCAACCTTGTGAACGATAATGATCAATCTATATAAGTAAGGTCCCACTCCACCGTCCTTCCTTCGATTTACTCTACACTGTTGAGTTTACGCGTGAATCATAAATATTCTCCCATCTTTAACTGTGAATACTTGTGAATTTGGCATTCTCAGTGGGAATATGCTGATACAGTTGTTCAAGATTTGGATTTCATCAAGAACTTTAGGAATATTCTTATCTGCTTGCGAAGATTGTAGTTTTGGGAGTTTGTCTCTGCTAGAGAGTTTTCCATGAACCAGTGACTCCTTTCTCTGAAGGACAAAACGTACAGGCAATGAATATCTATGAGGCTAAGAGAGAAATTCTAGTCCTCAACAGTAACGTTGTTTGCTTGTCTTATTTGTGGTTTTCAAGTTTCGGTTCTTTTCAACTGGTACAATCTATTTGATGTCATTCCAGTGCTCAACAGTAACCAAACGGAAAAAATTATCCTATAGCTGACTTTACCTACTTGCCCTCTCAAGCACAAGAATTTTATTTTTTTTATGCCTTAAAAAGAGTAATTTGAAAGCAGAAAAGAATCATGCATCAGACAAACTGCTATGTTTCATGTGAAACTCTGCTAAGGAAAAGCTATATCAAAATAAGAAATCCACAGAAACCCCAAATCGGTTTTAAGTCCCAAAGCCTAGATCTACACAATTTCCATGGCATTAAGCGTTAAAGAGGTTCATCATAAATGGACCAATTTGGGATTATATAAGGAAGCACCAAATACCAGCTCACCAGTTTTTTATTCAACAAACGTTCGTTTTAGAATCTTTCAGTGCTACGCGTGTGATGAAAATTGAAATCTTTACAGGCGAGAGAAGCGGAACAACCCTCCCCCCTTTATTTTTACTGTCCCTGATGGCATTTTGAGTGGTTAAAGAGACAGATCACCTAATAGCATTAAGTTTCAACATACTTCTGGGCCCTCCCCGCCAACTAGCCAACAATGAAAATTTCACGGTTCATTTTAAAAGCCACACATCACATTCATGTATTCCTTCCAATACCTTTTCATCCACACGGAGACTAGAATTCTCTTTAACCAAGGGCAAAAAATCCGCGACATATCATATCAAAATCGTACCTTGGTGAAATTGATCGGCGCCACCTGTTTTAACGACAAGGATGACTATTAATACCACGCCAGTGAGTGGTTCATCTTACTTTTCCTTTCGCTTTTTCATCCCTTTGTTATCCGAATGGCTGCTTCAGAGCATTCTTCCACTGACGAAGTCTTGGAGAACCTTCAAGGTTTTTTTTCCCCCCAAGACACTCACGCTTTCTGTGGACATGTTTATATTTTAAAAATTCTTGTCTTTTGGTCACTGAACTTATTCTTTAGTCTTCTTTTTTTGTCACATGAGCATGATTATATGAGAGATCTACTGATGATAACTTTCTCAAGTCTCAGCTGATTGATCTTGTGCCATGCACTTCTGTTGTGGCGTTCACAGTGGACATTTCCTTCTTACATCCTGCTAATTTAAGGTTGCTGCTCCTTTTCAGAGGAAACCAGCAAAGAATCAAAGCTAGAATTTTCCAGCGATGAGGAAGAGTTGATTACCAGAATGTATAATCTAGTTGGTGAAAGGTCTGTTACTTCCATTTTCTTTCTTTTCAAATACTAACAAAAGATACAGATTCATCAACCTGTTTATCCTGAAAGCTAAAATTACTAGTTCTTCCATCAGGTGGGCTTTGATAGCTGGGAGGATCCCAGGAAGAACAGCCGAAGAAATCGAAAAGTACTGGACTGCCACATACTCAACAAGTGACTGAAATGAAGTTAACGTTAGCTTCATAGAGTACAATTATATTGGTCATCTGCAAGTTTTCCTTCAACACCTTCTCTATTTATGACAGTCTTTGCCTTTGATTCAGCTCATTTCAGACTTTATTGTGTCACGGTGTCTGTGTGAATGTAGTAGGCATGTTACTCTTATCATGAACCGATTCACAATCATTGTGTTTCAGTACTTTCTATCAATTCAATGTGCTCTCGAGGTTGCATGAATCGCACTAAGTGATGTTGGTGGGTGGGTGGGTGGGTATGTTCATGACCTGTTAAAATATTCTGTGTTGCCTGAAGGTGATTCTTTGGAGCCAAAAGGGATGACTACAACCAGGAAATGCCAAAACAAGTCACTGTCTTAACCAGAAAAGCAGCGCATAATATAACCCTTCCTCTTTACCAAAGCGACAGTCACTGTGACGAGTAACTCTTTGGCTTTGTTTGTGTTATTTAGTATTCACGCACACGGGTGGACATTCCAACTTATAACAAGCCATATAATGGTAAAAGCTTGGCAAAAAAGCATTCAACATTAATGACAAAATCATATCAGGAAACTAATGATGGTTAGGTTGAGTGGTAACAAACTTAATGCCCCTTGAACAAGGTTTTGAGTTAGAGTCTCGTCAATAAAAAAAAAGCAACATTAGCAGAATTTTGTCCAATTAAAATCCCAAAATGACCGTAGCACCAACAAAAAAATTATATGGGGATGTCCTTGTTCTGTTACAGCTTCAAGTAGAGATATTGATTAGTATCAACTAGACAAATTCTCAAAAAATAGTGAAGTGTTACGTGTCTAAAAGACTACTTTTTGCAGAAGGGACATGCATGCCTAACAACACAGAAATATATAATGGCTTACATGAGCTTGTGTAATTAGCGCAAGCAGATTTACTTTACCCAAGAAAGAAAACGCAAGCAGATCTACTTAAAGAAACTAAACTGCCTTCGTTCTAGTGTTTTTGCTATAATTTGCCATGATGCATGCTTCAAAGAGTGAGACAAGTCATGTAAACTTTTGGATTAGGCTTGACTTGATGCTCCACCTAACACTGATACTTCAGTTTTCACATTTCACCTTAAGCGCGCACGCGTGCACACATAACCATCTTTAGATTATAGTTTTATGAAGCCAAATTTGCTTATTTTCAACATAAATCTCCCATCCTCTATTTGAATCTTTTCAGTGTTTGCAGAACAGTCCAAGTCTTCGCTCAATTCAATGTAATGCTATCTCTAGTTTTGTGCTTTCAGTTTTCGCTAATCTCTTCGGATCTTCCCTGTTTCCTTTGTATCTTCGATTCTTGGTTTCTGAGCAAAGATCTCAACGCGAGACACCAATTTCCAATGTTCTATATAACAAAAATTTGGATGCTTGGACAATCACTCTTCCCCGCCCAATGTTCTAAAACAGAGGCCACGTACTTAACAGGAAATATCTATTTCCAATTGGAATATTCCATTTTCCTTTGGTAAAGTTGCCATGAAAAATGATCTGTTTTCCGCTTTCTTTTCTCGTTCTCATACGCCAAATTCCATTTACATATCATGATTGCCCAGAGTATCCTCTTACCGAACGGTAAGAAACTAATTTCCCAAGATACTATTAGACGCTGTAAAAAAGACTCCTCTCAGTGTTTTTTTTCCATATACACAGCTTTAAGGATCGAACCTAAGACATAATATTTAAGGCCGAAGTTCCATTCACTTGGACCAACATTTATTGGTTAATTTTGTAAACTTTTATTGCACAAGCAAAAGCAGAAGTAACAGAAACATTAACATGAGCTCCATTTCGGATAATATTGGCCCACTTTTGCTGTTTATCTTCGTACTTTGCTCTAGGCGAGGACATAAGAAATCTGTAACAGACATCCTCTGCAGAATAATTGTACAAAGTCTGGATTGTTCCATGTAAAAGATACTGTGAATTTTATCCATTTATTCCCGGATAATAAAAGGGGGAGTAACAAAATAGAAGATCATGAACAAGAAAGACTAAACAAAAAGGAAAAAGGAAGATTTTTCATGTTGAGCTTATAATTTCTAAGCATCAACAATGTCTGGATCAATTTCAGCGGATGCAAAAAGAAGCTCGGGCTGTTCTTGTCTTCCGAGCTCGTATGTTCCATCAATGGCATTGTTCCTCCCCAACGCCTTCAAAGCCAAATGCGCCGCCTTCTGCCCCGATATCATCATCGCCCCAAACGTTGGACCCTGCCATAACAATCATCATTATTACACATGTTCGTGAATCTGTCTTTTGCATATGGAAGGGGGGAAAAAAGAAGAAGCTTTTTTTGGTTGTTTCATTCACATATCATGAACTTACCATTCTGGGGGCTCCGTCAATCTCTGCAACTTCCATGCCCGTGACGATCATGCCAGGCACAACCTCCCTAGTTAGTCGAACAATATCATCCTCGGCAGTATTCATGTCCAACGCCTTCATTCCTGGGACGCTGTCGATCATCCCTATGCTCTTCAATCTCTTAACCCCCGTCGCTCCGAAAGGCCCGTCGTGCCCGCACGAGCTCACCACCACCTTCGCCTCCATCACGTTCGGGTCCATGCATGATTGTGTGTCGTGGTTCATCGACACCAACGCCCAGTTGGTCACAACTCCGGCCACCCTCCCTTCCTTCACGATCAAATCCTCTGCCGCCACCGCGTTGAACAGCTTCACGTTCGGCCGTGAGAGAAGCTGGCTCATGATCGTCGAAGTAAACAGAGCCGCGTGTTTAATGACCACGTAGTCCTCAGCCTCGTCGTACTCGATCCCGAGCTCGTCGAGGAACATGTGGGCCGGCTTGCGGACAACCATAGCCGAGAAGAGCTGCCCGCCGAGCCATGCACCGCCGCCGGGGCTGACAGATTGTTCGATGATGGCCACGCTGACAGAGGGGTTCTTGCTGAGCTCGTAGGCGCAGGAGAGGCCAGCAGAACCGGCTCCGACGATGACGACGTCGGTGTCGGCGTAGGTGATCATGTCTGTCATGTAACGGCGGGTCATTTCGCGGGAGACGATGGATTCTTTGATGGGTTGGAACTTGAAGGAATTGAGGTCGTAGGAGGGAGTGTTTAGGGACATGGAGATCGAAGATTTAACAGGAGTGAAGCGAGAAGGAATTGAAGAAGGTATCTTGTTGTGGATGAAAGAAGATTTCGGGTTTGAAGAGATGGAAGAGGTCAGGGTTGCAGTGGCCATGGCTGCCATACTGTGATTGATGATTCGGTACGGAATTGGATAGAAGAAGAACAAGAGGGAACTGGTCTATACTGCGAAGTGAAGGAGGGAAAGGGATTTATAAACAAAATGAGTAGGACCTTACTGGGAGAAGAGTGAAATATCTGAATGAAAAATCTGAGTGTATTGGTTTGGGAAGAGGAAGATAGAGTTTCAACGGCGGAGAATGATGGGGTTTTCGCTATCCGGGGAGGAGATATTATGTCAGACATCGGATACCACATCAGCTTTTTGGCAGAAGAAAACAAGCAACAGGAAGCTGTGACTGCAAAAAGAAAAGGGAAATAAAAGGAGATGTACAGTAGTACCATATAAGTACAAATGAGATTCACAAGATATTTGTTTCTCTAATCCAATGATATTTTGCTAAGTAATGATTTATATCATTGTTCACAATGTTTTAGGATCGTGCTTATGATTCACAATCTGGGCAATGTATAGTAATAGGTTAATTAGGTTAAATTCGTTTTCAAAGAGTTTTTATATTGAATGCTCGAAATGGATAATACTTGCAAAATTTTTAATTTACGTTTTGTTTAGATACTTCAATTTTATTACAATTTTAAAAAAAAAATCTGAGATTTAAAATAATTGTATGAACTCTAATGAAACATATGGAGAAAGTCTGATCTGAGATTTAATATCATGAATAAGAAGATGCAAAAACAAAAAAAGAAGATAAATTCATAACATCAAATAATAAAAAGTAGTCAAAATAAATAAATAAGTGCTTTGTGTGGTTGTTAGTAAGGCTCCACAAAAGCCAGGTTGGTGTGGACCGGGCTAGGCTGGGTTTGTCCGGCCTAAGCTAGCCAGTTTAAAATATCTGATGGGCCCCCAAAATAATGGGCTTCAATGTTCTGGGCTTTTCTGCTGCTTCACATACATGGAGTACCGATTACAGTTTTTTGTGGTCCACAAAGATCCAAAAGAAAATTAGCCCGAGAATACAGAACGAATTTAACCGTAATCCCTGTTGGAAAATGTACTTATATTTAGTATCAGACAGTATTTTGAATAAAATTACTTCTAAAAAAATTATCTTTTCCTAAAACAAATAGTCCAATATAAAATATAACAAAAAAAAACAATAGTCCAATATGAAAAAAATGTAAAGAGCAGCAGGAAAATAAAGAGAAAACAATCCAATAATAACATGGTCGTAAATACAAAAACTAATTTGTAATATAAATTGTATTACAAACTAACTCTTATATTTAAAACAAAGACAGTATTAGTATTTGCAAATAACACCCATCAACCAAATAGTTTGAAACTACCAAAGAGGCCAATTTGAGCAATGAAGGTTACTTTAATAATTTTAAGGGGGTGTTTGGATTAGAACCAAACTATAATTTTAAAAATGATTTTCTGATATATAGAGTAAGTATGTGAGAAGAGCATGAAAGGGTTTTTAAAAAACACTCCCAAGAAACCCAAAACACCCTTTTATTTTTATAAGCTGTTTGAAAGAGTCAATCGGCAAAAATATGGACCAAGTCCGTGCACATGCACTTATCAGCTGGGGTCCTAATCCAATAATTAGAAGAATTAATGAGTAAAACACCATTTTGTTTGCAGGAAGGCGCAAGGCCATGTGCACATCGCTGGTAGATCCAGAATCCATTCATAACGTAAAAACCCTGGTGGAACGGACCCTAATCTTAGAATTAATCTAAATAGTAATAATTGAGTTGAATTGGTCAGAACATACAATTTGAACATTTTTTTTTTAATGTTCAATTGCTCATGGGATGCAGTGGACTTTGGGGCCATGTGATCGAGTTGCGTATGAGGGAAAGGGCAATGCTAATAATAGAGATCAGATCAGTGATGGAATTTAAAATTTGGCATTCAAGTGTGGGGGATGTTGGTTGGCTGGTCATTATCTTCTTAAACTTTGAGCATTACATTTAACCCCCAGCTTTCCTTCCTTCTTTCTTTTTTTTTGGGTTACAGCTTTTCTTTTTGTTTGTTCCCTTAATCACCTCGTTGGTTGCTAAAGATTAAGTTTAATAATATTATCATATTACTCCTAAAAAGCAGCTTAACCCCCCATTTCTATAAAGCAAATCTAGTTTCACTTTCTCCACTCTAAAGCAATTGTCATTCAACAAGAATTAATTCATCTTTATTTGTTTAATTTATTGCCATAACTCTGCATTCTTTGACTTCGTCTCCCAATTTTTGCATAATATTGAGATATAAACCACTCTTCATGGATCGCATGTGTAGTAGACTGCCATTTTAAATATAATCTAATTATTTTTTAAAAAATACTCCATTTTGCTCAAAATGTGTATATAGGACCTGTTAAGAGCTCTGGCCTACACCACTTTATTAACTTTTTCCTCTCACATTAATGATTTTTTTTAAAAATTCCTATTTAATACATATTTTCCCAAATTCAAATGGAAGAAATATATTTGGGAAAAATATCATAAATTATTAAACACATAAATGAACTCTTATAGTAGTATTTATAAATGGAGAATATAACATACTCCTCCGGTCCTAATTATAAGACTTAATTGACTTATTTGAGGAGATTAAGGAAGTAAGTTAAGTTGGTTATTTATAATAAATAAGTGTTGTCATTCTTAAAATATCCTTGCTAATTAAATATATTAGCTAAAACTATCATTATTAGAAGGATTATCTTGGAAAAAATGCATAAATATAAGAGACAAAATGGATTAGGACCAAATAAAAAATCAAATTGAGTCTTATAATAAAGACCGGAGGAGTATATAATATTGGCAATAATTGGATTTGAGAATGGCACAGCGGAATGCAGCTGTCAAGAATTCCAATCACGCGCTGTTTCATGCAGCCAATAGAATGAGAGGCCCCACCTCCCTCACTTCTTCTTCCCTCACGAGGTCCCCTGTCTCCTCCCTCCCCACTTTTTCTATTCATTTCCTGCTTCCCATCTCTCTTTTAATTCTCATTACCCATAATACCCCTTCTTGCTTTTGCTAATTTGTTTCTCTCACACAGACCAATGCTACACACCCAAAAAAAAAAACAAACAGAGAAGATTTTATTTATATTGCCAAAGTTTACATCTACTTTGAGACCTTTTGAAGACATTCTATAAAATGGTAATAGTATGGAGAAGATTATATATATTTTAGATTTCTTCTACAGTGACCAAATAGTATGCCTTTAGTGGGCAATGCATCATGAGTGGGCAAATTGGTAAATTCCACGCCTGCTTATAGTTCTGTTACTCTCAAGAAAACACAAGATGCAAATAATTAATTCCAACAAGTAACGTCGGTATGTGAGCTTGGGTCCAAAAAGAAACTGGGGAACATTAGCATATGATGTTACAACTGGATCCTCAGATGCTCCGTATCATTTTCAAATAATCCTCCTCTCATTTATTCAACACACCCTCCTCATCTCTCACTCACAGATCCAATCTCTGTCACTCCAAAATCTTCCCTCATCCACCATGGGCACTCCTCCAAGCCCGGTTTCTTCATCACCGACCATGATCCTTCTCATTGCACTTCTCATGGCCATGGCGGCTGCATCCCAAGCAGCCATTTCCAAAGGATCATTTGAAGACAACTTCAGCATAATGTGGTCCAAGGAACATTTCACTACCTCCGAAGATGGCCAGATCTGGTATCTCTCTGTCGACAAAGAAACAGGTAATTCACTAACTATCTTTTGGTTATGAAGGTAAACTGTTTGATCAATAGACCATCTGGGCTATGTTTGATCAAACAGAGCATTTAGGATACTTCCACTGATGAGAACGATATAGGAAAGTGGGTAGCGAAAAGTTTAAACCTTTTTATGTGGTTGTTTGATGAACAGGATGTGGGTTTCAAACAAAACAACGCTACAGATTTGGATGGTTCAGCATGAAGCTGAAGCTAGTAGGAGGCGATTCTGCTGGTGTGGTAACAGCTTATTATGTAAGTACTAACACTCAAATTCAAGAATGCATGAAATGGTATGTTTCCCAGGGATGGTTGGTGGATATATGAGACGAGGGAATTGGATTGAATTTGATGCAGATGTGCAGTGAGAATGGAGCAGGGCCAGAAAGAGATGAGATTGATTTTGAGTTCTTGGGGAACAGGACAGAGCAGCCTTACTTGATTCAAACAAACATCTACAAGAATGGTACTGGAGGCCGTGAGATGAGGCACGTCCTCTGGTTCGACCCCACTGAGGACTACCACACTTACTCTGTTCTCTGGAACGAACACCAGCTCGTGTAAGTTCCCTTTCTTCTCTTCTCGATGATCCCATTTTCCAACTGATGGGACCAAGACCAACTCTCAAATTGGTATAAATCGACAAACTGTTCATAACCAGTACTGATGAATCTTCCTTTCTGAACTGAGCCATTGCTAACAACAGTAAGTGATTGTGGGATTTGGGATGGCAGGTTTTTTGTGGACAGAGTTCCAATAAGAGTGTTCAAGAACAATGGGAAGCCAAACAACTTCTTCCCAACCGAGAAACCGATGTACTTGTTCTCGAGTATATGGAATGCAGATGACTGGGCCACGAGGGGAGGATTGGAGAAGACGAACTGGAAGCTAGCGCCATTCGTGTCATCTTACAAGGACTTCAGTGTGGATGCTTGCCAGTGGGAGGATCCATACCCAGCTTGTGTGTCCTCCACCACTAAGAACTGGTGGGATCAGTACAATGCTTGGCATCTCTCTGATGATCAGAAGAAGGATTATGCTTGGGTTCAGAGAAACTTGGTTATTTATGATTATTGCAATGATTCTGAACGATTTCCTACTTTGCCTGAAGAGTGCTCTTTGAGCCCTTGGGATTAAAATTCTTTTCTATTCTTTATTTTTCTTCCCCTCATCCCCCCTTTTGTCTTGAAATTGTATGCTGTGAAATAAAGTTATAATGTCATGTATTGTTTTAGCAATTTATTGATATAATTTATTCACATAAATTATGGGGAATATTCATTAAAATAAAGCATATAGTTTCATTAAGTTTGTTATCTAATTATAAAGTACAATATATACACCTCCATAAATATTTGATGATATATAATTTGGTTAAAAAGTTTAATTAACTTACGTTAACTTTTTGATTTTATTAGTTTTGTAGAGTGAAAATTTGACCTACATCTTCATTAATTCAAATTAAATTATTAAATATAGAATTTTTTTTGACGAAGAATTGTTTTTATTTTAATATATCATAAAAAGGGAATGTGATAGTAAATCTAATCCAAACAAAACTTCATGCTTAATTTGACCCACTAAATAATATTATTCAGGAACAAAAACTCAACATAGTTATAAAATATGGAGCAATAATAATGAACAGCTTATTTGGAATGACTTGAAAGCAACTTTTCAATTATAATTTATAAAATATGAGATAAATACATGATAAAAATTTTATTTTGATTTAAGTAAAAATGTTTATAAGCACTTATGCATTGTCGATCCAAACAAGGAGAAACCCAACTAAAACCAAAGTTTTTGCTTATACCAAAACCCATAATAACCTATAATACCAGGTGCTTCAACTGGACCTAAAGAAGATGAATAGAAACTACTTTAATTTCTGAATATAAGACACATTTGATAGTATAAGCAGATAAGTATAACTATGTTTACTTATATTTACTTATGCATGTGCATTTCATGATGAAAAGTTTGTATCTCTTTTGAAGTTAACTTATTATATGGTCTCACTGTTATACTCTGATTGGTCTAAAATTAACCTCAAAAGTCATTAGAAAAGTATTCAATATAAGTAATAATTTATTACATGAGATTGGACAAACTTATAAAAGTGGGATTAGGGAATACCGTCTCCCTCTCATAATACTCTCAAATTCCACATACATAGGTTTGTCTAACCCCATGTAACAAATAATTTCTCATGTTAAACATTCTTTTAATAGATTTTTTCAATCCCAATCTCAATCCTACTCCTCATTTTTAATACTTTGTTCCATACGAAACCTTAGGGCATCATTTGGTATGAATCACTGAACATGGGGGATATGAGTTAGAATTGAGATTGAGAAAATATTGTTTGGCATGAGAGATTATTTGTTACATGGGATTAGACAAATTTATATATGTGGAATTGAGAAATACTATAGGAAGAAGTGATATTCTCCAATCCTACTTCCATGAGTTTGTCTAGTCCGGTAGTCCCATGTAACAAGCAATTACTTATGTTAAAGACTTTTTTAATAATTTTTTTCAATTACAATCCTAGTTCCTATTTTTTATTTTCAATGTTTCATACCAAATGGGATCTAGGAGTTTTCTTAACTCTTATCCCAAGGTGGTACAATTGATTTAATCATTTCCTTAAGCATCCACATCGAATCATTTTCATTTATTTCAACACGGAAATATACCTTATTGGAGGCTACCTGGGATTTTGATCATGCAGATTTCACTAATCTCATGAATATTCACTCATTTACCTCCATAGTATTTTCAACTGGAAGTCAATATTAGAAAATACACATCATTTATGAAGTCTGCTGTACTTTTGAACTAAATATATTCTTGAGTTATGGACAAGCTCGCGAATTTGAATGATTCTTCATTAGAGTAGAAAGTTTGCCATGGAATGGTAATTAATGCCCTTTTCTTCTTCAATATTGGCTTTGATGTGAATATTCAGATCCAAAAAAAGTGGGAAATAAGCTTTGTTCCTCATTTGATGGAAGCTAAGCTCTGAATTTTGCTTATCAGGAGGAGAAAGAATGACGCATACACCCACAAATCTTAAACTTAGGGAGTGTTTGGAGCACCCCAAAAGTATTTTTAAAAATAATTTTTTCGTAAATTGGAACAAATTTTTTTATATATTTAATTTGTATACCATAAAATAATTTTTAAAATCATGATTTGGTTTTTACCTAAACACCTCCTTAATATGTTTGCATATCTCAGAATATTTCACTGTGTAGAGACGTGAAAAAAGATAATACTACCTCCGGTCTTAATTATAAGATCCAGTTGATTAATTTGAGGAGATTAAGAAAAGAAGTTAAGTTAGTTATTTGTAATAAATAGGTGTTGTTTTTCCTAAAATATCCCTACTAATCAATTATATTGGCTAGAGCTACAATTATTAGAAGGACTACTTTGAAAAAATATATATAAATATGAGAGACAAAGTGAATTAGGGTATTATATTTAGGATCAAAATAAAAATCAAACAGGATCTTATATTAAGGACTGGAGGTAGTACAAATAGAGATGTGATGTAACAATTTTCATATTGAATATGATCTGTAAATACTTTATCCTCCCTGTATCATAACTTCCGTAATTGGTTCCATGATTGTTTAATTTTTGAAATAAATGTTATTCTAAATTTGATTTAGATTAGGATTTTGATTAAACATAAATGCAATTATGTGGTCCATATGTAATTGTAGATTATGGGTTGGGTATACGAAAGAGGAGACGATTTCCAACGGCCCAGGGCCCGGGTTAGCAGTTTAGCAGCTGCCAGTTTTATACGCCCTAAAAATTTTGTCGAGGGTAATCTTGTCAACTCGCTCTTGTTCGGGGGTTGAAAATTTTTGCACTGCTTAAACGACATCATTCAGCTGAAGGCGCGATAGGGTTCTGGTTGGGGGGCCGTGGAATCGATAATTGAGTTTATTGTCGGGAATCAGAGCCAGCAACGATCGCAATGGTCTGCGAGAAGTGTAAGTTGCTTGTAATTTCTAGTTCGATTGGATTTTTTTGGTGAAATTTTCTGAAAATCCGCAGGGTTTAGGAGCAACTGTTTGCAGTTTTCTGTATGCTAATTACAATTGTTTTCGCTTTCAGGTGAGAAGAAATTAGCCAAGGTGATAGTACCGGATAAGTGGAAAGAGGGAGCTAGCAATACTACCGAGGGTGGTGGCCGGAAGATCAACGAGAACAAGCTTCTCTCGAAGAAGAACAGGTACATCAAGATTCAAGTTTATATTTTTATTTTTCCTTTCTTTTTCTTATTGGGTATGCTTTGGCTCTTTGATCGATATTATTGTAATGCTTAGGTGAGAAATTCGAAGTGATGTCTATACGCAAATTAAGTTTTTCTAATGAAAATTAATTCATGATCTTGCGGTTCTGTTTATGGATTCGTGCTGTGACAGACGCTATTCTAGAACAAATGGTGTCATGAACTTTAACATGATATACAGGCGGTGAATGTTACTTGTTAGTTCCTCTTATTCAATTATGCTTTGTTTTGTCAAACACGTTGCAGATTTGCAATTGTGACTCCTAGAGAGGGAGCGATTTATAATATGGGAAGAAAAAGTTATGACCCCTGCTTCTTTCTTCTCTCGTTTTCTTTTAGGATATTGTGATTTTACATATGCGCTTCTAATGCCTCTAAGGCTCTGACATCCAATGCACCGAATGATTATATGTCACGACAATTTCTGTCAGCAGTTACTAGCCGAAGTACTAGTTCGCAGTTTCGCTGAAGTTTTACTTTATTACAAGTGTCTAGAATCCTGCCCCCTTTTCTTCCAGGGTGGTCACTCTCATCTGACCAGTAAAATTGATAAGTGGTTCAAAATATTTTTGAGACCATAAAAATGATTAATTGTAGCTGCTCATATCTATCTTGGTTACAGGAGTCAATAGTTTACCATTTATACAACTTGATGCTTACTATAAGCTTAGTAATGTTTAAGAAGTATGGACAGAGGATATGAAACACGACACAATCAGATCAAAATATTATCAATAACTAGTGGTTCAAAATTTATGAATTTGAGACTATGCTTTGTAGGTTCTTGTCTTTGCGACGCTTATTATTTCCTGAAAACGTGAAAGATTACCTATGGTGCTTAGTGAGATGAATAAATTAGCATATACGCTAGGATGAAGCAAGTGTAGTCTCCTTTATGAATATGTTTGCGTTAAGTATCTCCTGGCAGACTGCTGGTGAGTTGGTGGTATGCTTTCGTTTTGTTTATGAATTGGTTAGAATTACATGTTTAGATCGTGAATCTTCTGTAAATTTATTCTTGCATTGATTTGCTTGCAGATGGACCCCGTATGGAAACACCAAGTGCATTATTTGCAAGCAGCAGGTGCACCAGGATGCCAAGTATTGTCATACCTGTGCTTACTCTAAAGGTAAATCTTCTTGTTTTGGAGATTTTCTGTAACTAGACATTTTTGCAATCCGGTAACCATATTGAAATCAGGGTTCATATTGTATTTCAGGAGTTTGTGCCATGTGTGGTAAGCAAGTTCTTGACACCAAGTTTTACAAACAAAGCAATGTATAGTGTACACCGGGTGTGCGAGATGCGACATCATCTTTCTGGATAGTTGTCTAGTTGATGCTGATACCTATGTAACTGAAGCTGTACTCGTAGTTTAAAAGTTGAATGGTTTCTGTTTAACCTGAAGGCTGAAAGGCCGTGACTCGTGCCTTTTGTACTACTATCATTCTTTGTAATGCAACCCTTTTCAGTGAAAGTCTTCAGTGATGGTTAATCCAAATTTCGTGGGCTCTCTAGGTGAGGGACTGAGGGTTATTGGGAGATGCTCCTTTGCTCCTCTGGTCTTGCCAACAAAATATTGTTTGTTTGTCCCTGGCAAATCATTGACAGCTATTTATTTATGTTTATCTAATGTTTTTCTTTCAATGGAGTTAGGTGAGCGAGGAACTGAGGGTTATGAGAACCAAGGGGAAGGAAGTGGAGGCTATTTTGCCCTTGATCTTCATTCTTGAATGTGGCGCCTTCTTTTTACCCCTATTCAAGATATCACACTCTATTCCGTTAGGCTGGACCCACTAATTTTGAAATTTTCTGTAGTGTTCCCGCCTTTTGGATGATATGCTCGTTCTAAGTCCTAACCGGGAAATCTCCGGCTTCTGCCTTTTGGGCTTCCTGTCAAAGATCTTGCATCCATGATGTTATTGTAGGCCGAAACCCGTTCAGGGATAATCTGAAAAACGGGGGAAGGGAAGAATAACTGACACAGCTCAAAGCAAACTCAGCTGAAAATAAGTCCTAATAATGGGGTGTACTCTATTACACATATTAGCGTTTGATCAGAGCATGTCGAGGTGGAAATAGTGAATAAATAAACATCGATGTGGTTTCTCTTCTTACATCATACCAATTACCACAAAGACTCCTAAAATGAAAATTCTATTTTTTATTTGATATTAACATTGGGGTTTTTTTGGGAATGCAATTGACACTTGAAGTAATTGCATCCCGAGCAATTAGGCTGAGTTTGTCTTAAATATACCCAAAAAATTTATAAATAAAAATAACAAATATTGAGATTTAAATTTTTTTAAAATTATAGATGTAACGTGGAAAAAATAATTTTTGTATTAAAAAATCATTGATAAATATTAGTATATTAAATAATAAATAAATAATGAAAGAGAAAGTTTTTCAGTTTTATACTAGCTGAAAAAAATAAAAAACCGCATATGACCTGCGAATGAGTTTGGACGGCCATGATTTGATCAAATTCATGGGCTGAAGGGTCAAGATTCTAGGGTTTACGAAAACATCCTATAAAATGGGCTCTTGAGCTTTCCCTCCCAGCGTTCTGGCTTGTGGGGCGAAGCTTGAGCGTTAGACTCTGGCGGTTTTCAGACTCTTCTCTCATTTTTTTTTGTTTTACACGAAGGCAAGTTATTTGGTGGTGTAGACTTTTTCCTCGGTTTCTGTTCCAGGAACTTGCCCACAAATCAATTTCACTGCTTGCTTATTCTTTGCAAATATTTAAGAGTTATTTTAGACTTGTGGTTTTTGAATCCTTGGATTCATGATGTGAATGAAGGCTACATGTACCAAGGGAAGGGAGAGATCAAATTGAGTGCCCTTGTTCTTGAATGTGCCATAGCGGCTGTAGCCAAATCAAACCGATCTAAGAAGCTAACTGGCCGGTTGTTGTGAGATCTTTCTTGGATCTCTGTCGATAAATCTGCTTACCGAGCTTCTCACATTTTTATTTTATGCTTTTAATGCTGGTCTTATGATCATGAGAAGGGGAGAAGAGGAAAATGGCATACGAGTTGGCTTTTTCAGAGACCCTTCTCTGATATCAAAAGCTTTTGATTTTTCAAAAGGGTCACCTTCCGTGCAATCTGCTTTGATTTTCCGGCGGCTTGCGTCTATCGGTGCCTACAACTCATTTTGCATATAATTATCTGAATTTGAATGTTTTGGAAATTGTGAAATTTCTATCAAGTTGAAGAACTGATTTGCTTGTCTGCTGTGTTTTGAGTACGCCTCAGCATGTTTTGATTTGTGAAGCTCCGTTTCTCCAAATTTTTTTCCTTTGATTGGTTAGAAATCTCAAACTTTGCATTCAAACTTTTATCTGATAAGTGCGGGGGCGCAAAAAACCTCATTGATGGAACTTTATGTCGTTTAGAGCTAAATGGCGTGAGCCATGCAGTTAGAAATTGTGCTTTCATGATGAGGGAGATCTGTGTTCGAAGACTATGAGAAATATCTATATGAAACAGGGCAAAGTGGGAGCAAGATTATGAACATTTGTATAAAACTCGATGTAATTCATGATGAGTGACCCTTGATTCTAAGGAGAAGCAATCAAAGAAAGTTATATTGAGTGGCGGCGAATAGCCAAACTGAAGGCCAGTAAATTTAATCGCACCAAGCTAGAAATGATGATGGTATAAGCAGGGTAACACTGGAACCGCTGAATTACTATGTTCAACATAACCGAATCATATTCAAATGATCAAGGGGAACGGTAAATGAACAATAATTGTTATGTTACTTGGTTATAATGGAGGAAATACCAAAGAGATTGTGATGCCTGGTGGATTTATCTGGGCATATACGAGGTGTCCTTTGCTAAAACTGAACTAATGCCCAGTTGTCAGTATTCAGACGAATCCATAAGTTTAGTTAAAAAAAACTAGTTGGAAACTTAAATTTAAATTCAGATCCTCTTGATATAAAGAAATTATTTGATTTGCATAGTGTTGATTATTACTCTTTATAAAACCTTTATTATAATATAAATTATATTATAAAAGAGATATTATATTTAAAACTAAAAGAGTAATTATAAAGGATTGAGGTTTTCATTTAAGAGAATTTGGACTTTATTATAAACTATGAGGCTTTTTGGATGTTCGGGGGAAAACACCTGTCTTGAAGTAATTCTGGTGATACAATATTTCATTTTTGGTTTGTTCCGAAATTTCAATCCCTTGTTTGAGGCTAGTCATCTTTGAGGTCCTGCCATGGCGGAATCTGGATTAGTCCAAACTTGTTGAGTTTCCTGTGACATAGGGAAGGCTTTGGGATTCGGGGTGAAGTAATTCAAACAAAAAAAAATTTCTATCCCTTGACCCTCCTCCGTCCCCCCTCGTAATGTTATCGATGCAACAGAGCGCGGCCTCAGATGTATCTTCCCAAGTCTCAAAATTTCTTCAGATCCTTCGCCACTTCACGCAACTGGAGGACCCAAATCGAGCAAAATCAACTCGCTTCCCAAATCTCATCCACTCTCTTGCAGAGACGCAATTGGGTGTCCCTCCTCCGCAACCTCAATCTCGACTCCAAACTAACCCCTTCTCTGTTCCTCCGAATCCTCCTCAAAATCCAAACTCACCCTCAAACCTCACTGGGCTTCTTCCACTGGGCCAAATCAACTCTAGGGTTCCAGCCTGATCTCAAATCCCACTGTCATATCATTCGAATCGCCGTTGGTTCTGGTCTTTATCCACCTGCAAAGCCCCTCGTGGATTCATTGATTCGGGAATACCCTGCATCTGCTATTGCAGAGACTATGGTCACAGCAAGTAAAGGTACAAGTAGAGATTCATTATCTGTTCTGTTAAGTTTTGTTATTGAACGTTATTCGCAAAAGGGTCTTTTCATGGAAGGTTTAGAGGCATTTAGGTTGATGAGGCTTCATGGCTGTACTCCGACAGTTCGATCCTGCAATGCGCTTCTTGATGCTTTGCAGAGAGAGAACAAGGTTCAGCTGGGTTGGTGTCTCTATGGTGCCTTGATTCGCTTTGGCTATAGACTTGGTCGTTCTACTTTGTCAATTGTTGCTCAAATATTGAGTAAAAATGGGAAGTTTGACACGATTGGCAGATTGTTAGACTCTGGGATTTATGATTCGAAAATTTATAATCTTGTCATTGGTGGTTATAGCGATAAAGGAGACTTCAAGTCTGCATTTGATGCCTTGAATCAAATGAGTACTAGGAAACTCACCCCTGATTTTGTTACTTACAGTTCAATCCTCGATGGAGCATGTAAACTTGATGATGTTGAAGTCCTAGAGAGGATAATCAATATAATGGCTGAGAAAGGACTTCTTCCCAAGTGCTCATCATCATTCAACTATGATTTAGCAGTTCAAAAACTGAGTGATATCGGCAAGACATATGCTGCAGAAATGTTCTTTAGAAGGTCTTGTGATGAGAATAATAGCTTGCAGGATGTTACTTACGGGTGTCTGCTAAGAACACTATCCAAGGAGAGGAGAATCAGGGAAGCAATTTCGGTATATGCTATAACTTCTCAAAGAGGTCTTGCTTTGGACTATGGCAATTATCAAGCATTTTTTAATTTTCTCTGTGAAGAAGATCAGTGTGCTGAAGTGGAAGGTTTTGAACTATTGAAGGACATTATAAGAAGAGGATTTGATCCTTCTTCATCAAACTTGTCCAAGTTTACGATATCTTTGTGCAATAAAGGTAGATGGAGAGAAGCAGAGGATTTGCTGGGAGCTCTTCTAGATAGAGGCATAGTGCCTGATTCTAGTTTCTGTAGCTTATTAATGAAACACTACTGCAATAGCAGACAAGTTGACTCAGCCATTGAACTGCATTATAAGATGGAGAAGCTAAATGCTACTTTGGATGTTGCGGCTTATAATGTGTTTCTCAATAGACTTTTTGTAGCGAGGAAGACTGGAGAAGCTGTTCAGGTGTTCAACTACATAAGAAGACAGGATTTACTTAGCAGTGAGAGTTTTACAATCATGATACGTGAGCTATGTAAAGTGAAGGAGCTGAGAAAAGCCATGAAACTGCATGATGAAATGTTGAGGATAGGGCTTAAACCAGATAAACCGACATATAAACGTTTAATATCTGGGTTTGCATGATCAGCTTCTAGCATAAAATCCTGTGAACTTTTAGAAACTTACAGAAACATTGGTGATGTAATATCAGAGGTTTCATGCTCAATAATCACCGTTTCTAATCATTGCTCTTAATCTGCTTATTCCTCTACCACAACAAGAACGAAGACAATAAGCCCAAGAAAAACAAATTATAACACCATTTTACCATGCAAGACGGATCTCAGTGTAGTTATAAGGAAGCTAAGGTTAATTAACGAGGTAAATTACTTTATTCACCAATTAATGATGACTTGACAAAAATAAGTATTACCTCTAATTCTAATTATAAGAGCCAGTTGATTAATTTGAGAAGATTAAGGAAGTAAGTTGAGTTAGTTATTTGTTATAAATAGGTGTTGTCTTTTCTAAAATATCATTGCTAATCAAGTGTATTAATTAGAATTCTTATTATTAGAATGACTATTTTAGGAAAAAAAAGTATAAATATGAGAGACAAAGTGAATTGAGATCTTATATTTAGGATCAAAATAAAAGTCAAACATGATCTTATATTAAGGACATAAGGTAACCCATCGTCTGTGGGTTCAGTGGCGAGGGGGTTGGACTTAGTGCCTGGTTGTCCACTTTGGCACAGGTTCGATTCCTGGGAGTGGCACTTTGTTGTACCTCCATCGCGGCGCTTGGGGAGGCATATTCGCAACCTTGTGAAGCGGGGTTCTCCTGGGGCTAATTCCCATGAGGTTAATGCTCTATAGCCAGGGGAATGTGGAGGCATGTGTACTCTCCTACCTGGTCCGTGGGCCCGTGGAGCAGGGTTAGTTTTCCTGCCCTTGGATTGGGTTGAGCCCAAACCCCTTCCTAAAATTTCTTTACCAAAAAAAAAAAGGACATAAGGTAGTATATCAGTTTAACACCACGTGCGTCGAGGCACCTTGTCAAGTTTTACACATGCAAAATTCATATAAGTACGCACGCACGTGATGTAGATGCCAATCTCAGTCCTCGTGTCCACTGCGTAGTACTCAATATTAACGTTGTTACAGCTTGCATGCATGAAAAACCCAGAATAACTTCCTCGAAACATTGCTTTCTGATGATGACACCATTTTCCAAAATGCCGTCTTTCTTGCTCTTCATCGCTCTCTGCTCTCTCATTTCCTTCAATGCTTTGTCGGAATCTAACGAAGATCGAGTGCGAGAGCTTCTCGCCTTTCAATCCAGATCCAAATCCGGTGTAATTCACCTCAATGATAAATCCGTCTCTCGATTCCTCACTTCCGTCGAAACCCCAAGACCCTACTGGGTCATCTTCGTTTTCGACGCCGTTCTACTCCATAACAAATACGAGCTCCGCCTCAAAGATATTCTCCGTGAATTCGAACTCGTCGCTTCCTCCTACATCGCCAACAATCAACACCCGTCTTCCCCTTCATACGCGAAATTGTTCTTCTGCAAACTCGAATACACAGAATCGAAAGCGAGCTTCTCTCTCTTCGGCGTCGATGCCCTCCCTCACCTTCGCATTGTTGCCCCTTATCATCAAAGCCTTAGCGAGTCATATCAGATTGATCAAGGAGATTGGTCCCGTCTCGCTGAATCCATGGCTGAATTCATCGAAATGAAGAGCGACCTCACGGTGGGTCCCATCCATCGACCCCCTCTCATTTCCAGAAACAAATTGATATTAATTGGAATCGGATTCTTGACCTGGTTACCCTATATCTCAAAGAAGATCACTGCGGGTCAAACAATTTTTCATGACCCGAAAGTTTGGCTAACTGGAGCTGTGTTCGTGTACTTCTTTAGCGTTTCAGGGGCGATGCACAACTTTATAAGGAAGGTGCCTTTGTTTTTGGTGGATCGAAATGACAGATCGAAGTTTACAGTATTCTACAGGGGACCAGGAATGCAACTTGGGCTAGAAGGTTTTTGTGTGGGGTTCTTCTATACAGCTGTGGGTCTGTTATTGGGTTATGTGACACAAGAACTGGTGAAGGTGAATAATATGGCGACACAGAGGATGATTATGATCTTTGTGCTCTTGTTCTGTTTTTGGGCAGTGAGGTGGGTGGTGTTCTTGAAAAATTGGAAGACTGGTTATGCTGTTCATGGATATTGGCCTTCAAGTTGGAGAAGAGATTAGGGACAACCCAACACTATTCCCTTTTGCTTGAGAATTGTTTTTAGGTTATGAATTCTTCATTTCATTGCTTAACTCAGGATGCTTTTAATTACTTTGAACTTGAAAGGTTTATAAACAAGAACGTTTAGTTTGTCTCAGCATTTTCTCTGTTTGTAGGGTTTTTGTTACTTGAACTTCCATACTTTCTTTACAAATGTTAAGACTGCCCATAGTCCGGACATTTCCAAAATTTGTGTTTTTATTTTTATAACATACCAACTCTTATTAGATATAACATGAAATACAATGAGTCCTTAACACAGTAACATACAGATTAGGATGAATCACACACAACAAAGCTAGACAAGGACTAAGTAATAAATTAATATCTTCATACAGAGATTGGAAACCTGTGGGAGTTACCCTGAATGGTTGATATTACCTTTCTATCTTGACAAAAATCTGAAGGGTCTCCTGTACTGTATCACCTGTACCAATATCTTCTATCCTATGGAGAATCCAAAATTTGTGTTGCAACAACCTTTTTATTGTTTTATTATCATACCCAGATACTAGAGATGATTCAATGGCCCGAAGTCTCAAACTATATAAAGAAAAGAAGAAGTAATGGACGTTGAAGAATTTTACTCTTAATTTTTCATGTCATACAGTACTTGGAACTGAATATGTGGAATTACAATTTGAATTCTTATGAAATTTATAGCTTTTAGCGTTGCTTTATTGCCACAACCAAGTTGCAGAAGCAATCAGGTCTTTGCTTTATAAACAAGCTAAAGCATCCACATCTCTTAATTAGCCTGATATATCAGAGTAGTGATAATGTTGCAAGCTGATACTTAAGATTTATTGATGACATTTAAAAGCTAGCTGTGTGTGGTGTTGGATGAGAATTGCTGATCTTGAGTTCATAGGGTGTGACTGAGACTCGGTATTTCCTCCATTTATATGAACTCATGCTTCACTTCCTTCTTGGAAACCACCAGTAAACATATATAAGATTCCTCAATTTACTTAGATGAATATATCAGATTCAGATTCCTCAATTTCTTGCAGCTTAGGAAAGTTGGAGGGTATGACATCCTCCGAATACACAACTTGGCTCTGGATAAGTTTAACATTGGGATGCTGCTGAATTTTGCAGCTTTTTCTTATTGACTAAATCCATTTCCTCTGAAACTTAACAATACCATCAGTTCTGATGAACAGCACACATATGCATGCCATTTCCAATCCTTTATGGGTTCTGCTTTTCAGGTGTGACTCACACTTTGCTTTCTTTGAGAACAAAAGGAACATATTCCATACTTTCGGCTCTCTGAAATGCAACAAGCAGCGTTCCCTTCACGCCCGCCTCAACTCCCCACATTTATTAAAATAGTCTCTGCTTTCATTCTTTCTCAACGCCTGGGTCCAGTTATCCTCAAAAACTACAAGGGTTAAGGTGATTTTTGCCCTGAAATTATTGTGGTTTTTGAATATCTGAAAGCTTTTTTTAGCTTAATATGTCTTCTCAAAAGTGTTAAAACAGAACAATATCTCCCTTGCCGTCAAAAAGTTTAATGGTCAATATTAATTTTTTAACTGCTAATGGTAGTTTTGTAACAGAAAGGGTGACATTGTGCTCTTTAAAACACTTTTAAAAATATACTAAGGAAAAGAAGCTTTGGATAATCACAGCTCCCTCTCGAATATTTTGAGGACAAAAGTGACTATTAATCCTAGATACAACACAACAACATTGTGGCACATATTTTTAATTTTACATCTTAAAATTCGATAACAGCAATAAAGTAAAATAGATTAGCCTTTGATGCTAACTAGACTTTGTTAAGTAAAGGGCAACTTTTTTTCATTATCTTTTTAGCCAACTTTGCGTATAAAACAGCAGAGTGGATTCCCCTGCGTTTGGGGCACTCAAATTATCCTTTTACCCCTCAGTCTCCATAGAAGCCTTGCTCTACCCAACATCACAAAGGTGGCAAATTGGAGATATTGCGCTAGATCAATAGCAGTTGCTGCGTCATCTTTTTCACTTTCAGAGCATTACTCCCCATATGGCAACTTCCCTTTATCAAAAAGCTCACGAACTTGTAAATTTCTGGTCTTGGATATATATACACACACAGAGAGGGTCCGTGAGGCATCAAATCTAGCAACTCTTTATTGTGTGTGGAAGGTAGAGAACTCAGAAAAAATGGAGGAACCAGCTGAAATGGTGGGAAGGGCATTTGTGGATCATTACTACCACTTGTTTGATAATGACAGGGCTTCACTATCTTCTCTGTATAGGGACACCTCCATGTTGACCTTCGAGGGACAGAAAATTGCTGGGGCCACTGAAATCTGTTCCAAGCTCACCCAGCTGCCGTTGGGTGAATGCCGGCACGTCATCAGCACCATCGACTCTCAGCCGTCGTCTCCCACCGGTGGCGGCGTTGTTGTCTTTGTCAGCGGCAGCCTCCAGTTGGCCGGAGAGGAGCATCATCTCAGGTTTAGCCAGGTCATTGTTCAACTCCCTGTTCCCTTTTATAATTACAGTGATCAACATCATATATCTCCCATCATATATATGCTTCAAGTTACACTTCAATATTACCTCTGTGTGCGTGTGTGGATGTATAGTTCAATGTGTCCAAAGCAATAAACAAATAAACAGAGAAGTTATTTGAGAAAGGAAACTGAAGAAAGTTGGGGAATTGTGGTGGTTGCAGATGTTTCATTTGATTCCAACAGCAGAAGGACGCTTCTATGTGCAGAATGATATATTTCGTCTCAGCTACGGTTAATTTCAAGTTTGATTCGTCATTGACAGTGCCAGCTGCTTCTGCTTTTGTTATTTGTCTTCTGGGGGAAAAAAAAAAAATTGTGATTGTTCCTTTAGAGTTCTGGGAATCACAATATTGTGATTTCGTTTCCTTTCTGTGATGCCTTCCTGGGAATGTGACCAGAAAGCGTAATGCTTCATATTCTCCGCTGCATCCGTTATTTATCTTTTTAGCAATTTGAAAAAGATTCTTCATTGCTCCTCTTTTTCTTGTCTTGTCATTGGGCTTTCTTCTTCTTCCTTGTAATCCTTTCTCAGAAATGTTGCTTGGGCCAAGACTTGCACGCAAACCCAACCAAGGTTTATCTTCCCCCACTAATATGTAAATAAATTAAAATATAATATGATAAAAAAGAAATAAAACGTAGTGAATGAGTACTTAAAAAAAATATCATATATTACTTCTTCTCATGCCAAAATATAAGCACTAGTTGGGTTTGAATTTGATTTTAAATACTACCTCCGGTCTTTAATATAAGACCTTATTTGATTTTATTTGGTTCTAAGACCCTAATCCACTTTGTCTTTCATATTTATATATTTTTTTTCAAGATAGCCCTTCTAACAATAATAGTTCTAACCAGTACACTTGATTAGTAAGGATATTTTAGAAAGTACAATACCTATTTATTATAAATAACTAACTTAACTTCTTTTATTAATCTCCTCAAATTAGTCAAGTAGCTCTTATAAATAGGATCGGAGATAGTATAAGACTTTAATTCATTAGTTTGTGTCATACTAATTATATATATTAAACATACCACGTGAGTAGGGCCAACGAGTAATTAATATGACATCCGCAGATGGCATTAAGCAGAATATGGAATTAAAAATGTTGGACACTGAGTATTATTAAGTAAACATGGTTTAATTTATTTAGGCATAGTATTAAAAATTTACAAGTTGGTGGGTTCCTTAGCTTTCTTCACGTGGAAGACAACGAAATGGTCCCCTGATTAGAACAAAAGTATACCAAGTTGTGGATTTTCAATTTCGGACAAACAAGGGTACGTGATTGCCACTTTCAGGATATTAATTAATCTCCAAGATATTTTAATTAGAAAATAAATAATTTATGTCCTTGGGACATATGTGGCCTTGGAGGACTATTTCGTTGCCCCCTTTTTGAAAAATGCGAAAATATCACTACTTTTGTAGTGACTAGTGAAGAAAAAAAACAATAAAATTTGATCACTGATCATTTAGATCAACTGATAGGAGTTGTTCTAATTTAATCAAAGGTTATGGATTTGCTCCTTTGGGAATTTAGTAGTGTAGGTGGTAGGGTCGCTGCCTATATGGGTCCTATCATGACTCGATCCAAATTAGTCTGGTTTGTGATTCTTTAAGGGGTTAACCAAGATATCAGGTGCATGTGGAAAAAAAAAACAATAAAATTTGTCAAGTTAATGGCTACTCACAATTATTCCACATACATCATTAATCTAGTAGTACTAATCATGACTAAGATTTGTGCCGTGGATAGAATAGACTTTTGATATAATACTCCCTTCGCTTCTATTTATGAAATTCTAATCTTTTTTAAAATAGTTTGGTCTTTTTTATTATATGATTCAATTTGAGGTTGTCTAAATATTAAGTACATTTTAACCAATTTTACTTTTAATTAATTACATTCCCTCTCATCATCTTTTTTTTTTCCCGTATATTCTCTTTCAATTTTTTTCACTATTTCTCTCTCTCTCACACTTACCCTCTCATAAACAAAGACATATTTAAAGAAAAAAAATATGACTTATTGACAATTTCAAGTTGTGCATGTGTCCAATGATTCATCAAATTCAAGGTGGAGGTTCTATTATTACATAAGGATTGTGCTAATTAATGGATAACCGAATTATTACTTCCATGTAACTTTCTTTCAACTAATTCGTACAATAAAAAATATTTAAAATAATTATTAAAAATTATTCCTTACATTCGTTGAAAGAAAGAAATAATAATATTATAAGAAAGAAATATTTAATATAAGAGACGAGCTAAAATTGGACCTTATAATTATCTTTAGGATCAACGAAAAAAACTTTTAAATATACTTTATATTTAGAATTAGGATCAGGAAATATTAAAAAATTAAGCATGATTGATGAAGGAGAAATTTCTTTACTTTCAGCAAATTGGGAATGCTAAAATTTTCCACTTCAAAGAATTCAAATGTTGAAAAAACAGCAATTTTCAGAATACCCGTTCCGATTTTAACATCGCAGCCAGATCGATCTCTATTGGATGCAATCGTGATCCACTTCACCTAACACGCCATATTCTTTTCGTAAAAATTTTTCAGATAAAATATTCACATAAAAGTAGTATACATATTTTCATAGTTATAATTATATAATTAAATCAGATATCTTTTTTCCATTTATAGAAGAGATAATAATTTAATATTCTTTCAAAGACATGTGAAGAAAAACTAGAAGAACAAAAAAAAAAAGTATATTATATCGTATGAGGCCTTCCTTCATCTTTTCTGCATAGTGCGTTTCATGCTTCGCCTCTCTATAAATAAGCACCAAATGAGGCAAGCAAAACACAACACTAGAATCATCGTCCTGCCATACTATGGCTTCTTCTTCCCACCAGTCTCTCCTTCACAAACCCAAAAAATCCATTTCCAGAACCATCTTCCTCGCTCTCTCTCTAGCTGCTCTCATAGGATGCTCAGCCGTTGTTGCTTCTAATCTCTTCACACCCTCCTCCTCCTCCTTCGTCAACCTCTTCCACCCTCTGCATCATCATCTCTGTGATCATGCCCTTCACAAATCATCATGCGTTGCCCACGTCTCTGAATTAACTAAAGATTCAGCCTTTAACGACCAAAAGTCCAAACTGCTTCAATCTTTTCTGGTCAAATCCACCTCACAAATTCAGAAAACCGTGGACTCAACCAAAGCCATCAAACACAGGATCAATGATCCAAAACAGCACCAAGCTCTGCTTGTCTGTGAGCAACTTCTGGACTCTTCCCTTCATAGAGTTTGGGACTCTGCGGTGGCCCTCACAGAAAACACCACCAAATCCTACCAGGATGCTCACACATGGCTCAGCACTGTCCTCACTAACCACATCACTTGCTTGGATGAGCTAGAGGGATCAGGTCGAGCCCTTATAGAGTCTGAGCTCAATGACTTAGTCGCCAGAGCAAGAACCTCCCTAGCCATGCTTGTTCATGTCATGCCCTCTAAAATTGAAACCATTAAGGAGCCACTGAATGGGGAGTTTCCCTCATGGGTGACCAGTAAGGATAGGAAGCTTCTGGAGGCTTCTGCAAATGATATAAAGGCTAACGTTGTGGTGGCCAAGGATGGAAGTGGCAGGTTTAAAACAGTGAAGGAGGCTGTGGCTGCGGCACCTGATAACAGTAAGACGAGGTATGTATATATGTGAAGAAGGGAGTTTATAAAGAGAATGTTGAGATTGGATCCAAGAAGAAGAATGTGATGCTGGTGGGTGATGGTATGGATTCCACTATCATCACTGGAAGCTTGAATTTCATCGATGGAACACCCACCTTCAGAACTGCCACCGTCGGTACGGATCCCAAAACCTTTTGTCATATTATTCACTTCATGCCCACTGTTTTAATGAGCTTGAGCTCATTGTTTTGAAGTAAAATTATAAGACTTTGAAAGGGGAAAAAAAAATTAGTGGGGGTGTGGGGCTTGCTTATATACAGCTGATATTGAATTTAGTGCGGTAGGTTTAAAAGATGACAATAATGTATTATGTTGAATAACTTTATATTCTAATTATCTAGAAAGTCAAAAAAAGCAGATCCACAGAGAGAGAGAGAGAGAGTGACAGCAACGACAAAAGTCCACGGCTTTATCTCTGCAGATCCAACCAATGTACTCAAATAGATTTGCATCTACTCACCGTTTAGGCTTTTAATTAATTCTGTTGGCTGAAATGAATTTATTTAGGTGAACGAGAAGAGACAATGAATCCCAGCGTTTTAAAACGACGAAATCAAAACAAAAACTAGGGTGTAAGTAGGGAAAATTTTAATATTTTATAGTGTCATTAAAACTGATCAATGAGGTTTTGTTTGTTTCTTCCTGAACATTAATAATTAACATCATGTTGATATGGTATTGCAGCTGCGGTTGGGGATGGATTCATAGGCCAAGACATATGGTTCCAGAACACGGCAGGCCCACAGAAGCACCAAGCGGTGGCTCTCCGCGTCGGCGCCGACCTCTCCGTCATCAATCGCTGCCGTGTCGACGCCTTCCAAGACACTCTCTACGCCCACTCCAACAGGCAATTCTACCGTGACTCCTTCATCACAGGCACCGTAGACTTCATCTTCGGCAATGCGGCAGTTGTGTTCCAAAAGTGCAACCTCGTGGCCCGAAAGCCAATGGCTAAACAGAACAACATGGTCACAGCTCAAGGACGCGAAGACCCAAACCAGAACACAGGAATTTCCATCCAGCAATGTAACCTAACACCAAGCTCCGATCTCAAGCCCGTCGTGGGCTCAGTCAAAACCTTTCTGGGTCGTCCATGGAAGGAATTCTCTCGAACTGTCGTGATGCAGTCATTCCTGGATAGCCATATTGACCCATCAGGATGGGCTCCATGGGACGACAAGCAATCCACACTGAAGAATCTGTATTATGGAGAGTACATGAACAAAGGACCTGGTGCTGGGACTTCCAAGAGAGTGAAATGGCCTGGGTTTCATGTGATTACAAGTGCCGCTGAGGCTAGCAAATTCACAGTGGCTCAGCTCATTCAAGGAGGAACTTGGTTGAAGGACACTGGGGTCGCCTTCACTGAAGGACTATAGATCGATCACTTCTTGCGTTTTAAACCTTTGAGCATGTTTCTTCCATGGGCTTATGCTAGTTTTAAGAACTTGGTACTGTAGTGGTGATGTATTGGTGATGAAGATGATAATCGAATTTCCCCGGTGAGTTCATGTAATGGCCGCGTAACGTAACTTATCATGTTTTGGAAATAAATTAATTTCATCTTACCTTAATAACAAAACTCCAAGTCAAAAGAGTTGGTTTTGGTTTAATAGCCTTGCTTAATTGCTGCTTCCAAGTTTGGTAAGTTGGGACCCTCTGAAATTTTTTGAGCCTCTAATCCATGCTTTTCATTATTGCCTTCTGCACGTTGTTGTTTAATTTCCGCTGAACAATCATCTGAGTTCAATCAGAAAGAGCTGGGAAGAGTCTGGGGAGCATCAGATATAAATTAAAGTAACATTATTTCTGGTTGCTTCATCTTTTATTACCTCCCAGCTTTGATTATC